AAGACTTTGTATGTGGTGGGTTTTCGTGTGTCTTGGGCCCCAGGTACATCCTTACCTGGCCTGGACAGTCCCTCAAGTCTTCATTCTAGGACGCTGGCAGGGATAAAACCCGGTGGCCAGCAGCTGGGGCGGACTCCCTTGTAGCAGCCCAGCCCTTGAGGCCTGGCCAACTTTCCTTCCCTGGGGATGGGTGGCCAGGCCAACTGTGAGGTTAGAGGTCAGCCCGCCCCAGCTGGCCCCTGGAATGAGGACAGTCCAGTTGTGTCGCCGGTAAGGACAAAAGCCACACTTGGCGGTCAGGACCACCCAGTTGCTAGACCTCTTGAGAAAATGATCGGGGGAGCCAGATTGGGGAAAACTGAGGCACAGACACCCTCATTCCCCCCCATAGAAACTCCATTGTCTCCGTCTTGTCGGTTCTGTCCGCGCCCACCCAGCTCCTGACCCCACTTTCTCCCTGTCGGAATCAACAGACCAGCACACCTCCTGAGGACTCTTGAGGGAGAGAGCCTGGTCCTCTAGAGGAGGGAGCTCCAGCTGGCTCCCCTGGAATTCTGTTCTGCCGGTCAGGACAGTTTCGTGGGTCACTGGGCGGGATGTGCCGGAGAGGTTTGCGCAGCGCTGTGCAGCCTCAGGGCCACTCAGTTCCCTCTCATGCTCTTTGGCCAGGACCAGCCAAGCCAGTTTCCCTGAAATACACTGAAAAAAAAGAAAAAAAAAAATTGCTGGCTCTTATCCCCCAAGGCGGGTGTTAGGGGCAGGTGGGTGACATCCTCCTTGGGAACAGGCTGTAAAACGCTGGTTTCAGGAGCCGGCAGGAGCCAGCCAGCTGCTGTTTCCCTCAATTCTGTCAGCAATCTAGCGAGGGACCAGCCTAGGCCAGACTTGGCCAGAACAGGCAGGATGAACTCAGGTGGCCTACGTCTAGGCCGGTCTACCTGGCCTCAATTACCTTGAGTCATCATGCAGTCTTCTGAGTCCCCTGGGTGTTTGGCTGACAATCAGGGATCCTCTGTCCACTCAAATCCTTGAGCTGTCGGTGCCTGTCCACCCAGAGACCCTCTCTCTGGTGCTCACTGAGGCACACTGCGGCCTGTAGTGGCCAAGCTGGGTGCTTTAGCACATACCTTTGATCCCAGCTCCCCAGAGGCTGAGGCACAGAGCCCCTGACCTGAGGTTGCCAGGTCCCTGGGGTAGCCCTGAGGTGGAAGCAGACACGGCTGAGGGTGGGGGTGGGGAGCCCTGGGCAGTTAGTTGGCTACAGGGAGGAGGGAGGGAGAGAGGTGTGAATGTCACGTGCAATCAGCCCAGGGGACAAAGATGGGATGATGGTGTCCCAGTGAGTGGAGGGTGGGGACTGGAGGGAATGGTTCCCAGATGGGAGGCAGAAGGGGAAGGCACGCAAGGGAGCAGCAGCCTGTGCAAAGGTCCTGAGACAAGACAAGCATGTACTCCGTGCCTTCAGCTCCTGGGAGGCAGGGGCATGCCCAGCTGGACTTTGTAGCAAGACCTGGTCTCAAAAGAATACAGCCAACATCTACTGTAGGAAACTCTCAAATAGTAAAGGGTTCTTTTGTTGTTTTCTTAAAGCAAGAAAAGGAACAGCAGGGCAGGGAGATGGCTTAGCAGGCAGGGACACCCCTGTCCTGTCCCCACCCCACCCCATGACCTGAGCTCAGCCAGGGTGGAAGGAGAGGACCAACTTCCAAAAGTTGTCCGATATCCACAGGGACAGCCTGGCACCCACCACACACAGACACGAAGTGAAAAGAAAACAGAGCAGGGAGGAAGAGCCTTCACACGCTCCCTGCCTCAGCGCCTCAAGTGTCACCAGCACTCATAGCCCCAGACACCCACTCCTAACATGTCCCTCGGGGCCCCACCCCCCAAATCAGAACAAAAGCCAGGAGCTGCTCTTTCACAGAAGTGTCTCAACTCTTTAATCTTGCAGATTTACAGGGTTACAATCGTGTTAAATATTTCTGAGGTTTAAATACAATCCACAATAAGGTCATAAAATGTAAACTTTCAGTGCTTTTTTTTTTTTTTTTTTTTTTTTTTAAACCCCCCCCCCCCACATGCCTCCCTGTTGTCTGCTGACTTTTCCTGAATATTCCGTCCAGCTGTGACCATCGCGCAGGCCACAGCCTGGTCGGAACTGACCATGAGGCCTGACCAGAGGTAGAAAACATTTTTCTCTTCTTTTTTTTTTTTTTTAACTTTTTTAAATTTTAAAAAATCTTTTAAAATCCACTTATTTTCCTTTTTTTTTTAATTTTACCTGAGTTTGTGTGCAACCGCCACACCGTCCGACAAGCCCCTCCCACCCCAAGAAACTGAAAAGTTCACGTTCCTAATAAAACAGCTCGGCTCACATTTACCCAGAGGGAAAAATTAAATCCACAAAAGCCAAAATTATGTGGGGGTGGAAAAAAAAATGAAGTGTATAAAAATGCTAAAAAAGGCACACACACAAAAAACCCACAGACTATACGGATGTATAACTCAGAAAACACTAATAGCTGTCCCCCAGGTCCCAACCCCACCCACTGCAGCCAGATGGACAGACAGACAGACACACAGCCTGGCAGCCAGCAGAAGCCTGCCAGGAAGGTTCTAGAAGCAGTCTGTGCCTGCCCTTCCACCCTCTTTGCCCTGAGTCTGGGGGGGTCTTGCCTGGCCCATGCAAGCCCTGAGGTGCCAGGTGGACAGAGACAGAGTCCAGCCCTGTCCCCAGTCCAGTCTGCATAAAGAGTGCCAACTGAGCCCAATGCCAAGAGCTGGCTGGGGCAGCTGGGGCGCAGAGAGGACCGTGGAGGGCTGCCGAGTGTGTCCAGCACAGGACACCCCCCCATACAATCACAGAGCTGTGGTGGGCAAGGCCCCTGAGTCAGGATCCTCTGTTTTGTGGCCACTCACAGAGCCCAGATACAAGTAGCCACCAGGACACCAAGTTCCCACTGTGGGATTGAGCAGGTGACCAGAGAAGTGGGTGGCCTGGGGGTTGTTGGGGTTTTTTTTTGTTTTTTTGTTTTTTTTCTTTTTTGGCATCAAAAGACCTGAGGTAGAAAGAAATGTTCCTTGGATGTGCCCACCATGCTGACCTCCTCAGAGACTCCCCAGGGACAGAGGCCTCTGTCTCCCTGAGCCACTTACCCATGGAGGTCAACTTTGGACAGACTTATAAGGGGACAAGAACCCCTCAAAACCCGTGCCAGGAATGATTGTGCGGCTAAGACAGTGGCCCCAAAATGGGGCAGGCAGAAGCTTCCAGAAGGAAAACTGGAGATGCCCCTCCCCTCCAAGCGGGGTGATACCCTCCTCCTGGAAGGATAGGAAGGGGTGCGTTGACAACCCTGAGACAGAGGACGAAAGAGGGTCTGGGTCCCATAGCCTAGACTGAGAAGGGGGGCAAGGCGGGAAAGAGGGGCTCAGGACTCCTGAGGCCCAGCTCCCAGCATGCACACCAGTCCTAGCCCAAGAAAGCCTAGCACTGCCTCTGACCAAGGCAGAGTCCAGGACTGGTCCCTCAGTCCAGCAGAAGATTAAGGGATTTCTGTTCTCCTGGCTCCAGCCAAAATGAAATGCAAGTTCTCTCTCTCTTCCTCCCCCCACCCCCTCCAGGGCCTCTGTGTAGCCCTGGGAGGCTTGGAATTTGCTGTATAGACCAGGCTGGTCTACTCACAGAATCCTGGGATTAAAGGTGTGTGCCACCACCCCAGCCTTGTCTTATTTTGCTTCTTTGAGACAGGGTCTCAAGTAGCCCAGGCTGGCCTCAACCTCCATATGTAGCCAAGGATGACCTTGAACCCCTGATCCTCCTGCCTCAACCTCCTAAGAGATGGGATGACAGGCACCATGCCCAGTTTGGCTGGACCATGGGATGGAGACACTAGCCCAAGGACCAGGGTCCTTCCTGAGCCTCTGGTTGATTACTGTCACATTCAGGTGCTGTCCCAGCAAAGGGATTGACAAACACAGGAAGAGAGATGGGAACACAGGAGGCACTGGGCATAACTTGCCCTGAGCTAGGCCTGGTGCACCTGGCTGGTCTCTTCAGAAAGAGCCTCTCTGGGCAAAGAGAATCCAGCACCTTCATCCCTGAGACACACCAGGCCACCGTACTCCCGCTGCTCCCTACCCATTTCTAGAACATTCTGTGTCCTGGGTAAGCAATCCAGGTCCCTGAAAGACGGAGCGAGTAGGCCGGGCCCAGCCTGATGGAGAACTGTGGAAACTGCTGAGAGCCAGCACGGGCTGGCTGAGTCAGGGGCCCTGTAGGGCACCGCAGAAGCCCTGGCACAACAGGGGTGGGGACCGTGGCTGGTATTTCACTACTTTTTTTGCTTTCTTTCTTTCTTTCTTTTTTTTTTTTTTAAGTTTGTTTCCCTGAATGAACACAAAATATATAGATATACAGATAGGCTCTTCCTAAAATCCCCACCCTCAAGAATAAAATAGAATATTTACAAAATCAGAAACCTCAAATCCTTTAAAAAATTGCATCTGAATGTTGAGATCTTATTAAAAAAAAAAAAAAAATTCATAGCTTCCAAGGAGAATAAAAACAAAACAGTGATTTGGGCTCCAGTTTGGTTGGTTTTCCCAAAAGGAACCATGGTTAAGGACCGAGGAACGGGGGAAAAAATTTAAAAAATGAAATAAAAAAAAGAGAGAGAAAAGAATCAGAAATGAGAGAAACGAGAACACAGAGTGCCGGGATTCATGAGGTAAACAGACGAGCTTGAACTGGGCTGCTCAAGCTGGGCCCCATGGAAGCCTCTAGAAAGGCAGCCTCCTTGGACTTCGAGGTTGCCTTGGTGGCCCTTTGTCAAAGCCCCTCTCGGAGTCTCCAAACCTGAGAGATTCAAGTGTTCTTTGCTTTGCCCTGATTTATTAATCTGTTTCTCTATCTATCTCTCTCTCTATATGTATATATATATATATATATATATATATATATATATATATATATATATA